TATCATCAGATCTGCGGGCGACAAGAGAGCATGCGCGCGCGACATTAGACGTGAAGACGTGTAGCTCATACATACGTAATTAATTTAAAACATCCGGGCGTAAATCCTCATTTTGACATAACTGCTATTTTAGTAGTTACTATTTTAGCATTAGACGCAAAGATGTGTAGATTTGAAATACGTAATGAATTAAAACATCCTGGCGTAAATCCTGATTTTAACGCTATCCTACAGGCCTGTAGAGGAATAGTCTTTGCAGTGAAATGGATTCCAAGGTTGGAGTTCCATAGGCCCTGAGATCTGTATGCCCAGTGCCCAAGAAATCTCTGTTATTTACAGCTTTCTGATGCATTTTGGGTGGTATATAGAGGGATTGTTTCAAATAATAACAAGAACTATCCATAATATAGAATATCCAAATAACCCTTTTTGTGAAGAATGGGGTAGGACCTGGTAGGAAGAGGGGGAAGTAGTCTACTACACTATTATATAGCAGAAAAGTCCTGCTTACCACTTGATTCCCTGACCAAAGCTTCCTTTAAGTTCGGTGCAAACAGAATGCGGCAAAACTTCGCACTTGTACCTATGAAATAGACACGGGAGTTCTAGAATATATATCATATTGAAAATACGATATTATATATATCCTTAGAAAAAGAGAGATGGCCTATTTTAGAGAGCACACTGGCTATTTAATTAAAAATTAAGATAATGAAAATCAAACGTTAGGATGCATGTATGAACTGAATGAAAGGCAAACAAAAGCAAATCTCCAAGCAAAAAACAGACACCTCTAAAATATAAAATAAACAGAAAATAAATCAATAAAAATAAAAATTAATCAACGGGGACATCACGTGATTAGACAGCAAACAGAATCACCATGAGCCATATATATATATTACTTATACTATATATATATATATATATATGCAGTACACAATGATATCTATTATCCGAAATTCTGAAAACCGAAAGTTTTTCGTGGAAGTAGTCTGCACACCAAAGCTCACGTTTGGTGCCAAAGGTTCACTGCAGAAATATATGTGTTTGGCATAACTCATACATATTATACTGCACTGGTACAGCACTTGGCCTCTTGAAAACTTGGCTGGTTGCAGGATATACGGTATGTATATCTGTACCGTACTATCATTCCGAAATCTGAAAAATTCCGAATTCCAAAACGTGTCTGGTCCCAAGGGTTTCAGATAATAGATTGTGTACTGTGTATATATATAATATATAAAGAGTGTTATATATATATAATATATATCGATATAATATTACCGGACTGACTGACGAGGCTACGGCAGTAGGACAGCACGTTGGCCGCCACCTGCAGCACTGACAACCTCATCATGGCCTTAACGTCTCCGCGCCCCGGCCCGCCGCCGCCGCCGCCGCGTCCCTCCCGCTCCTGCAGCTCCTCAATGCTGTTGATGTGACTGCGCAGCGACTCGGTCATGCTGTAGCGCGAAAGCAGCGCCAGCATCTGTCTCTGGATGCGAGACACGTGGCTTTGCGCCTCGAACGCGCTCCGATCCGCCGCCATCGCTGCCTCGTCGTCCGGATCTATGGGAAGACAACACGCACGCTGGGACGATGTGCTGGTGACGTATGTGCGAGGCGAGTTTAATAAATCAGTACTCGTTAAGACGTTGTGTAGAAATATATATCCGGATCTACGGGAAGGTAACGTGATGTGTGTGTAAGCCGAATGAAGAACAAACATAAATATGGAATAGAACGAATTGAACAAATAGCAATACGAGTTCCAAGAAAAAAAACTGACAGCTCTAAAATGAAAAATAAAATAAATAAATAAATAAAACACCTAACCAATTTACTTTTAAACAACAATTTTTATGTGAGACCTTTAAATTATTAATGCTACGACTAATGACACTTTCACTGACGAAATGGCAGAGCACAAGATCATGGTTACCTTCAACAGCAGAGCGCGCCACCACTGCGGTGACAAGTGCCAGTTCTTGCAGCGAGGCAAGGTCAAGCGAGGTCGGCGCGTCGCGTAGCACGCTGCTCACCATCTCACTGTGTGCCACGAGAAATCCCAACACCTACACAAAAACAATTCACTGTCAAGAGCCATAAAATATACACGCTTACACATATGCAACACGTTCAACTGAATACTCCACTCGTGCCACAAAAAGTTTGAAGAGACAAATAACGAAATGTTTTCGAGTTATTAGTTGTATTAGAGTATCAGTAACTTAGTTGTTAAATTTTATGAATAATAACAAATATGTTATATAGCTATTAACTCCACCCGCAAGTGGAGAAGTTTCAGAAAGGTTTCAGAATGCAATCGCCATTCCCAAGTCTAGATTAAGGACGGGACTTGCTGTTCAGCTTGCAACTCTATCCCATAAAATGCACAAGCTACGCAAATGCACCAAGAAGAATGCAAACTGCAAATTGCACTGATGGAAAAGGTTGGGTTAGAATACCTCATTAGCTGCCTGCTTGTTGCGTGATCCTAGAGACATGAGAATCGCCAGACAGAGTTTGAGTGCTGGCTGCAGAATCTGTCTGTATCTGTCCATCACGGTGGGCAGAAAAGATTCATACTGCAATCCTCCAATTTGTGTTCGTGGCAGACTAGAACACAGTACGTAAAAACATGTAAGCATATAGGTGTTCATGCACTTATGTACACATATGTATCTGTACATTTACAGGTAACTCTTGACTCACACCAAGTCTGTATTTTGATTAGGTATGCTAGAATAATTTACCTGTATTCTTGCTGTGGCCGCATGCTGAATACTGTGCATTCGGCCAGCCTTCCCATGATTCCACACTGTAGCAACATCTGAGCGCCAGACGGACTCTGGGCGATTCTTGTTAGTAATCCCTACAAAAACGAAAACAGGATGCAGTCAGGACCGACAATACCACCTAAAGGCGATCAACTCAATTTTCCATTCACTTTACTACTTTTTCCATCACTTCAGTTTAGTCATCATGAAATAAGTTACAATTATTTAGATGCAGTACGTTTGTCATGTAACATTATGGTAGAATACCCACAGCTCTTTTCAAACCTTCTGCCTTCTAAAATTCTTCACATCGCAGCCGACCACTGCATCACATCATATTGTGAGAACCTACCATCTTGGACTCGTACAGGTAGAGCGCACGCAGCGGCTCCGGCACTGGACTCAGTGACTCCTGAAGCTTGCCGTTGTCCTGCAGGAGGGAATCTACGTAGTGTCTCAGATATCCCTTCTTACCGAGGAAGGCCATCCAGTGGTCAGCCTTGTCCGTAGCGATAACAGCGTCCAGCGTAGCAAATGCTAGCATCTGTGCGTAGCAGCAAATATAAGTAAACAATGCAACGTGCGTGCTACCTGTATGTATTTCGTCTATGTATGTCACATTCTATGTATTATACGTAGCAGCAAGTTTAGACAAAACAATTAATGAGTCTAATTAGATTATCTTGCCAACGTTAATGATTAATGAACGATTAATGAAGGTTAATTACCTTGCCAACGTCGTGCCCATCACACGAATCTCTGCTCACCACCTCCATCAGGCCCTCCCCGTAAGACAGGATGACGCCCACGTTATCACTGGCGAGGTTCTCTACCTCCGTCTGGTTCCTGCGTCGAGGTCTCACCTCCATCTTTAATCCTGCCATGAGGGGGTAACACAACACGTCAGTACGTCAAACATTGTGTTAGCGCACTAACAACGAATGCAAGACAGTCGTTTCGACCAGACAATGAAACATTGTGTTAGCGCACTAACAACGAATGCAAGACAGTCGTTTCGACCAGACAATGAAACATTGTGTTAGCGCACTAACAACGAATGCAAGACAGTCGTTTCGACCAGACAATGAAACATTGTGTTAGCGCACTAACAACGAATGCAAGACAGTCGTTTCGACCAGACAATGAAACATTGTGTTAGCGCACTAACAACGAATGCAAGACAGTCGTTTCGACCAGACAATGAAACATTGTGTTAGCGCACTAACAACGAATGCAAGACAGTCGTTTCGACCAGACAATGAAACATTGTGTTAGCGCACTAACAACGAATGCAAGACAGTCGTTTCGACCAGACAATGAAACGATTAAAGGCTGTGATTTGAGGTAGGAATCGAGTATTTGTATATTAATTGTAATCTATTTGTATTTTAATTGTTATCTAATCATTATTGTTTCCTCATGCCTTTATTTGCTTTAATTTGTTGCACGTGTTACGGCAGGTGGTAGCGCGATCGCTCAGTGCTCAGAGTTTGCGATGTAAACATAGTTCATAATATCCTAACGAAATTTTTACTCTTAAGAATTAAGAAGTAATGTTTCTCAGATTACATGCATGCATCTTACATGATCGATTCTCAGCAAATATTTGAGTGTTGCAATTAAGCTAAATGATATTTTTCCTGATGTAGCGACTTTAAATAAATAATCTATTAAATCTTGGATTGGGGAGCTGAAACTGACAATAGAATTTTCTAGCAATCTCTCACCTGAGCCCTCGAAAATGGGCACCTCTGTTACCCGATGAGCAATTCGAAGATAGCTCAGTAGGGCGCCATAGAGATTAGCTCGCACTCGCTGATAAACGCCACCTGTAGGCAAGAATAGACAACAACGTAACCTATAACTCATTTTAATATAATTCCTTAATTAGATAACTGATTTTAATAGCAAACTCAAAAACGCAGGTAATTTAGATTAATGCAAATAATGTAGTTGCCATTAACAATGGCTAATAGTGAATGCAGTTAATGATATTAACACTGCTATAAATATATTCACATAAATTTTGGTTAATATTACAGATGCAGCAATGAAGGTAATTCCGATCGTAAATAAAGTAAAGATGAAAAATACGAGATCGAAACATAGGAAATGCATTGACTCCTACTATTCCCTGAATGTACAAAAAACTAACCTGTCGCACGGACAGTTTCCCACTCCCTCCACTCACCCGTCTTTAGAATGCTGTCAATCAACCCCTTTAACACAACCTGCAACGTTGCTCCGTGTTGCGCTAACAGACCACTAGATGGCGTCGCGGTCTGCTGCGAGCCGGACGAATCGTCGAGCACCGAAACGTACTGGGAGGAGTCGATGACGGTGACGTCTTCCGCCTGTGTGGCGAGGAACGAATGGCGGAGATTTGCTAGCAGGATCAGGATGACCCCAGCCGCTGGAGAGGTCAGCTCCGTTACCGATTCATCGTCCAGCACCTGCAACCACAAATAATATAGTCAACAATATAATAATAATAATACTACTACTACAACTAATATTATTAATAATAACAATATTAATAACTGCAATAATAATAAACAAGTGCCGCAGAGCGACAGGGCTCATCTGGTGTCTGGTGTTCTGCTGATAAATTCATTTGTGCATTGCAGAATCACTCGTTACCTTGGTGATGACCGTGCGTTGACCTATGGCGGCGGATCCCTGTATCTGGTTGAGTTCGTCCTGGAGTATGTGGTGAAGACGCTTCACGTCGCAATACTTCACTCCCTTCAGACTCCTCTGCTCACATGACGCTATAACCTGAGTCACCACGCGAAGCCATCGTCAACACGGTTAGGTTAAGAAATCCTCGTAATAAACGTAATATTAGCATAAAAAGTATAGGTAGTCAGTTGGGACAAATAATAGTTCCCACCGACTTAATAATCATATAACGTTACGACGCGAAATCGTCGTCAACACAGTTGAGAAATCCTCGTAATAATCATAATATATAAAAAGTATAGGTAGTCAGGTTTGCGAGCTCACGCTTAATTATATTGGACAAATTAATAAGACAAATAAAGGTTCACACGACGTTATAACATACATCACTACAGGAAATCGTCGTCAACACAGTTGAGAAATCATCGTAATAATCATAATAATAACTTAATAAGCATCATGGATTGTCAGGTTTGCGAGCTCATGCCTAATTAATAAACACATAATAAATCCTCGTAAATAATCATAATAATAATGTAATAGGCATCATGGGTTGTCAGGTTTGCGAGCTCATGCCTAAATTAATAAACACATAAATAAACATAATAAATCCAGGTAATAGACATAATAATAACGTAATAGACATCATGGGTTGTCAGGTTTGCGAGCTCATGCCTAATTAATGGACGCTTGCCCTGGTGCTAGGTTTGGTTATAGTTTGTGGCTATTATACATGGCTATTTGGATCATAGCTATGTTACCTAACATGCCTAATGAGGAATATTCACGAAAATATATAAATAAATAAATAAATAAATAAATATATATATATATATATCACTCACATTACAACTGTGATTACCTGTTCAATGATTTGCTGGTCAAAGTACTCAAGTCGCAGAGGATCTAGGGTATTTCTGCTTGAAAGAGATGGAATCCAAAATCGACAATATCTTCCTCTTCAACTGATCGCCTGAAATATGAAAATGTAAGTTTTTTTTTAAATGTGCATACAAGTGCTTTGCATGTAATATGAGAACTAACAGAAGCATGCCTATTTAGCAGTAAGTTGTTTAGCTGATGTCCGGATCAGATCAGTATGAAATTAATATCATAAAATAAATAAAATGCTTCACTAGAGCATTGATAAGCAGTTAATATGTGGGTGCAATAAACCATATATTTCTTCACCAGCAACATTGTTGTAATGGTATAATAAAAGTTTCTAAAACCCTACCTCGAATATGAAGTAACCTTAAAGGCTCACAATGCGCCCATCATACACTATAATTCTGGCCAGTACTAGATAGCAAATACTTTGTGTCATGCATGAATTCATCTACCTTAGGCAAAAATAAACTGCTAGTTCCAGTCCCATTCTCGACTGGCAGGCGTTGTCTTTTATAAAAGGTATTTTGAAAATACTCCAATGTTTGAAATTCTCCGATGTTGTTGACAGTTTTCCCCATCCCTCAAGCAACCATGCAGGCGGTGCTGCGGTACAGCGGGTACGGGCCGCAGCAAAAGATAAAAAACATGGTGACGGTCAAGCGTCACCAACTTCGAGGCTACCCTTGGTTTGCAAAACAGTCGGGTTGCTTGGCCAGAAATGCCAGTTTCTCAACCTCTTTCTTGTGGTTTTAAGCCAACGCCGGCAGTGAGATGGAGC